TATATATATATATCTATTATACTAAATATAAATATTTATTATTAGCCTTTTTGTTTAATGAATAAAAAACACTCTTTTACGAGGAAAATGTCAAGATCAAATATAATAGATGATCAACGTGCATCGAGTGCATGAACAGATAAATCAGATGTTCCATGTACATCGCATTTTTATTACAGCAAACACGAGTATATAATAAAATTAAAACGCAGAAGCAATGTAATTAAAATGCACACGAATATGTGCACTTCGGTTGTAGTATTATGTAAAAGGTGGTGGCTTAAAATGTGGCAGATGTCTTAAAATAATTTATTGCCACTCTTAAAAAAATCACTGCTATCTCAAAACTAATTTATAAATTACTTAGGTCGTGATCCAATTCATGCTTATGAGCATCATTTGTCTTCAGGCGGTATCCATAATCCGTTCTTATTTCAAGACTGTCTTAAGTAATATCTTAAGACGCTAATACGGCTCTCTGATTCGTTAATTCGTGATTTCTTAAGACTATACTTAAGATGATCTTGAATATAAGATCTGACTATAAATATCGGCCTTTGTTTAATATTTGACAAACAACAAGGATAAAATGATTTTTAAATATTGTGATCGTGAATCAGACCGCGGCCATGGTATAGCTAGATTTAATTACATTGCTTCTGCGTTTCAATTTTATTATATACATTCGTGTTTGCTGTAAACATGCGATGTATATGTAAACATTCAATTTATCAATTCGTTCGATTCGTATAGATTATCTATTATATTTGATTCTAATATTTTTTTTTATATAAAAAATTGTTTTTTTGCTTTATGCATTGAAGAAAAAAATCACATTTCAAGCCACTACCTTTTATGGCTTCATGGTATCAAAAGAGTTATCTAGAATTATAGTAGACAAAACGAGGTGAGAGGAGAAGGCATGGAATAGATAAGCAAAGGGTTACGTGACATATCTGAGAGAGTAAGAGAGTGTAGCGGTTTTACAGCATACGATAGAGACATCTCGCAAAGCTCACGAAGGTGGTGGCTGCGTGGGATGAACAGTTCGATAACAGTCGAGTTACTGTCGTGGGCGAAAATCGAACTCTTCCCTTCCTCTCGCTTTCTCTCTGCATGTGCATGCGCGCGCGTATGTATGTGTTTGGAAGAGATTTTTTTTGTTTTACAAAGGATGGAATGTGACTGAATTTAAAAAACGATTTAATAATAATGATAATTCACAGAATTATCTTTTAAAAATTTTGTTTTTCAGAAATTTTTAGATTGCTTATCTAATACGTACTATTATTTACAGATCAGATTTCCTCAATTAAAAATTTAAAATTGTAAGACAGTCTTATTTAAAAATTGATAAAGAGTAACAAGAAATAAGAAATAAGAATAAGAATAAATAATTGGACTTCTTATAATAGTATATAAAAAATAATAAATTCAAAGCAAAATTTTGTGTAATTTTGTACCATCTATTAAATGATATCTAAATTATTTTTTTGAACATTTCTTATTTCTCGTGCTGACTCCAAATTAGCCCTTAAAAATTGACAAATCAGAAAAAATCTTTCTTCTTTTACATTTACTTTATATCATTTATTCAATCAATATTATCACGTCAGATTTCTATTTTTTTTTTCTTCTAATATATTAATTCAGTTTGTTTCATAATTTCTTCAAAACCTCCTTAGAATAAAAAGAATCTACAAAAAGAATTGAAGTGTTTCAAGCCGAACAAAAGTCAATACAATTTATTCTTGCGTTATTAATATGATTAGTTCATATTAAATTTCCTTCTATTAACTTATAGATTTCATTTATCTTAGTTTGAAATCAATTTTCTTTCAACAAAATTTTCTTCGCAATTATTTAAAGTTATCAATATTATTAATACAAAATATTATTCCTCTATTGCTTCATTAATATCTGCAATTGAAGCAATAATCAAATCTTTTAATAATCTTCTCATAATAAGTTCATAATAAACTTTACAGGGTAGAGCGGAGCTACTTCGCGGAGCATTTCTCATGATATTGCTTATGATTCTGAGTAACGTATATTTAACATTTAAAGGTCATACTTGTGCTCTCAAGATTAAACAACTACAATTGTATAAGATAGTTACAAACACGTTACTGCAAAAATAAAAAGATATTGTTTGTCGCCGTAAATTTTGTATTATTTTAAGGTTGAAAATAAATGGAATAGCTCTGCTCTACCTTGTAGGATTATACATTGCGAATGTGACAAATAAATTTATAATATTTATTTAAGCCTCGTTTGTGAATGAAAAATATCCTGAGAATGATAACTAGAAATCAATGAAGATCGACGACCTTAATCTCGATTTCTTCTAAAAGTGCGCTGGGAATAATATAGTATCGCAAAAGCTCACCGCTGACGTCAAACGTTGGAGGATATTACGAGTTAAAAATGTTCAAGCTTTAAAGTCTAGTCACATTAATATTCTTTCTTTATTTAATAATTAACCCTAATTGGTATTCATGGGTCCAGTGGCCCCCACCATTTTCTTCTACTATATTGTAAAAAATTGTTCATAAAAAATGTTTTTCACAATCTTACATAATTTTACATTACATAATCTAATTTGTCAGATTAACATTGAAATTTAAGCAAAGCTACATTATTTCAAAGTACATTAGGCCTGCAAATATCAATTAAAAAAATTTCGAAGATCTGTTAGAATTAAAAATTATTTTAAATGGATATAACATTGTGAATGCATATTACAACACATTATACATAACATAAAAATTAACTGTAAGATTAATTTGATTAATTGTAATTATACTTTAATATTGCCGAGCCTTCCAAATCTCTTCGGTTTTATCCGTAACGTTTAATTAATTTTACATACATTTTCCTTTTATTATACACATATATACATTTATAGTATATGACATTATACAACTTTTATATGTATATTTTTTGCAATCAATACGTTGTATTTTAGTCTTAAAAATGAAATGTAAGCAATAACTTCTACGGCCAGGCGCGATTTGCTCTTTTCTTTTATTGCTTCTTTTCTTATATTTCTTTTCGATGTATTGTTAATCAATAAGTGCTCTTTCATGAATACAGCGAAACAGTATGTTACTTACAAAAGTATAATATCATGCTTTAATTTGATAGGGCGTCAACTATTGAGGCGTACCGACTCATCATACAACTAATATTAATATTTTAATATGAATACTCGCATCATGAAAAATATTGATTGAAAATAAAGTTTTCTTTCATTGAATACTTTGAAAAAGCATTCTGCGTTTTATTTGAGATTATATTTTAAAAAGATTCTTATATAAAAACATCAAAATTTCAAAAATTATAGGTATTTAAAAAATTTGAATATTATCAGAAAAAGAGAAAGAGAGAGAGAGAGAGAGAGAGAGAGACTCATTATTTTATTTAAAAAAATAAATAAGTCTTAAAATTTTGCACATTTTTTTCGGTACATTATACACAATTAATATATCATTTAAAAGCAGCAGAATTAGAATTATTTCATTTAGCTTTGCTGATTTGAAAGTCATTATATATCATTTTCTCAGTGTGCCATTAGATCTACGTAATATATCCCTCATCCTTTGTTACATGTTATCACATTTACTTCTCACGTACAAAGGGTTTCTAGTTGATTGCACGGAATGTTATAACAGATGGTTCACAATGAAATATATCGAGTGGAACGCTTCAACGTATGAAAAGTTATATTTCCTGTCTCTGTTTAAAAGCCTCGCTTATCGACTCCAAGAGGAGACTTAAAGTTCATCCGCTTATTAATTGCAAAGAGAAGCGAAGCATCTTCACAACCTTGAAAAGATATTCAATGAAAGTATATAACTGCAGAACTTTTAACTTGAAATTGAAATACTTATCTATTTCAAATTAAAATAGATACCCAGGAAAAAATATTATATGGATATGTTTTATATCTAATTATATATAATTATTTATAACTATACAGGATACCATGAATATAGGGTCCCACTCGTCCTGAGTAGGTAGAGATTATTTTGCAATAATTAACGAGATATTAACGTTTCAAAATAAACGCTCGGTGGGCTGTATCTTCAGCAATAGTAGATCGGGCGTATTCGGTTATCTTTAAACGTTAATATCTCGTTAATTATTGCGACATTGCAAAATGATAGAGGACTTTTCTACTCAGTCTGCTCAGTGGAACCTCCACAGGGTGTATATTCATGACACCCTGTATATGAAACATTTTTTCCCGGGTGGTGACGAAGCGATGTACTGTACGAGAAGAGACAGACGACTTGATTGAAAAACACATTTTTATAAAATTATCATTTTTAATATTCTCCCTTTTTTTCTTTTCATATTTTCTAATATAATTATATAAGTAATTTCACTAATTACTTGAGTATTCATGTCATGAATATACTTTCAGAAGTAAATATTATTATTTTCGTATTTGCGGGATAATAGTATTGAATTACACTTACCGACGTCGCCATCAGCCAGAACGACGATATGATGGAGGACTAATATACAGAGCACCAACAGCTCCAAGCCTCCTTGCCACCGATTACGGCCCATAGATGTTCCTATAATTATAAATCCATATCAAATCTTTATATCCACATCAAATCTCTACCTACTATCATATATATTATATTATGTTATATATTATAATTTCTACTTATTTATCCTTCAAACACTTCTCCATAGAAAAATAAAACAAACGCCATAATCATGATTTTGAAACGAGCAAATAATAACTAAATAGTAACAAGTAAATACCTAATGAATTCATTACGCATAAACTTTACATTATATTCTAGTTTATTTTATTCTAGTTTATTTTACAAATGAATTTTTTCTTTTAATAATTTTCAATGAAAGTTAAAAAGTTATTGCAGTTGCTTTAGTGTTAAATATTGTGTCAAACGTAAAATTGTATTTCGTCAATTGATTACTGAATTACTTAATACGGAAATATACTTGGACTTGTAGCAACACTTTTTAGGAGTAGTGTAAATACTTTCCTAAGTGCATCGCTCTAAAATATACACAGTACTTGTCCTCGAACTCGAACTTAAATTCAACAAAAGCTAATACACATGGCATAATTTACGCCATTTTTTAAATCAACTACAGAAATGTTACGGATTGGAATTATTTTTTATTATAGACAAGAGAGACAAAGAAGAATGGAAAAATGATTAATCTGTCTTTTGTGACATTTTTATATTTTATCTTCAGATATATGAAGAAAAAAAATTTTTTTTCATATCTATTTAATATATAGCATTCTATAAAAAGCAGAAAAAACGATAAAAGTAAAAATAAATTTTATGTCGCTAACTATTTCCAGCTTTGGATTTTTATTCCAAACATCACAATTCTCTATTTATTCCCAAGAGAGGTTTTTGCACGATTATTTACGCTTATATGTGCATGTCTCATAATTGAAACATCAGATTGTAGCCATGTTCATCTAACCACCTTGGTTAGGTGAACATGGCTAATTATCTGACTGGAGTTCTAGTCTCTAATTCGTAATCCTCAGTCTCTAATATGTAATATGACACAGGCTTAAGGAGATGTTAATTTACCTCTGAAGGATTGTATTCGAAAATACTACTCCGAATATCATTTTATCTTTGTTATTCACCTATTCAAATATCAAACAAGAATAAAATGACACTTGAATACACTATTCGCGTATTTTCGAACGCAGCCTTTCAGCGACAAATTAAGCTGTTCATAAATCTGTGTTACACTATGCATTGGAGATTGAGGATTGCAAATTAGAGATTAGAACTCAATTAGTCAGATAATTTCAATTTTGTTCTGATTGACTGAATTCTAATCTCCAATTCGCAATCTTGAATCTCCAATGTATATAGTATGACACAGACTTTATGAGAAGTCTATAATAGAAATCGTAAGAGGTCTGAAGTCGTAGGAAATTGACCAATCATAGTCGGTTATTCTCCTTATATTCGATCATGATTAGTCAATTTTTTACAACAGACTTTACGATCACTATGTCTTCTGTTGTATATTCCACATAAGAAAGCCTGTGCAAATACATCATCCGATTTTAATCTCTTCTTAGATATTATTCTCAAATATTAAGGAAACGAAAAAAATATATGCAACTTCGATAATTTTGTTTTAAATATCTAAGTTTGCAGATCTCTCATAATAAATATTTTTAATGAATAAAATAGAATGAATGGAATTGTATTTATTCATACGTATTGAATGAACAATATGAAATACGATACTGTTCTAAAATAGGTATTACTCGGCAAAAAAAATGTGAAATAAATTTTTATTTATCTTGATAGAATTCCTTTAACCATCTATTTACATATGCACAATCGTAATGTATTTTAAAGAAAATTAGTAAAAGTTCTGCTTAAAAAAGTACGCGGAATTCAAATCCATTTTTTAAAACTAATACAAAGGAACTCTTTATACAAGAATATGAGTTTTCTGCAAACACGATTAAGATTTGAAATTAAGAGAAAAAGAAGAGAGATAAAGGGGAGAAAAACGAGAGGGGGGGGGGGGGGAGAGAGTGAGGGGGATGAAGAGAACAAAGATAAAAAAGAGGGGGGAGGGGAGAGAGAGAGAGAGAGAAGAGGAAAAAAGCAAAAGAAGAAAGAGAGAAACATGCAAGGTGGAACGCATAAACGTAGATACGTCTTCACCTGGGCGTGACTCAATGTAGCCTTTTCACACCCTGTGGCACATCGTACGCGTCGCCACGAGAAATACCGTCGGCACTGTTCCGCTTCGCGAAAGGGCTAACACCACTTGGCGGTCCTGGGTGCAAGCTCTTGGACCATGTCCTCGTAAACAGCTGCCGGTTCCGCCGCAGTGATGGCACTGACTGAAAAGCGAGGGCAGACAGGATGATGAGGAGGAGGTACAACAGGCGGCGGCGACGACGCGCAGGGCGTGCGTCGTCGGATTTTCAAATCGATTGCAACGCGCCGCCGGGTAGTGGGCCAACGAAGACGTAGAATGATAAAGCGAGAGAAAGCGAGAGGTATGAGAGAAATAATGAAAGGGAAATAGAGATAGGAAATAGAGAAAGAGAGAAAGTGTGAATATTGTCGTCGACAGTGATGAAGAGGAATTATCTTACAAAAAATAATCTCATCGAATCGACAGATAAAGAATGATGCTGATGAACGAAGTCACATCTTTTGTTAATAATGAAATTTTTATTTTATCGCCTAAGGCAAAAATAAGGGGAGAAAGAGAAGAAACGAACGGCCGGTGACGCGGCAAACATGGTCGAC